GAAACGAAGCGCATAATTTACATGCCAGCGGGAATATTTCAACTAATACTCTTTCTGCTTTGTTGAATGATTTGTGTTAAATGTCGTTTCCATTCATCTTAATTTAACAGCCGGTCGCATTTCTTAAAAGCATGAATTACAGGAGGAAAATTCAGTTCTTGTCTACCATTTTTCATTCAATCGTCATAGCTCGTGCAAAATTTCTTTATAATATGTTACTACCAGGATTTATTACTGGTCTCTTTTCTTCCATATATTCAAAAATATTTTCTTAACCATTCTTTGTGCTCTTTGAATTTCGACTGTTTATGACCATTTAGCGTTTGGGTGAATAGTGGGCATTTTCTAATAGTGCACTTAAAAATCTCGTCCAGTTTGCATGGCATATCGTTAACAATCTGTCCCTTGTGGATTAGCGATATTTGAAGCAATAGAGTCAGTTATTAATTACTAGAGTTCCTGCCAGTACGTTCAAGCAGGAAGCTTTGCAGCGCTGTTTTATGTCAGACTGAAAATAAACGCTGTATGGAGGTTATTGGCGCCATTCAGAAGTTCCTGTTCTGCCTCTTCAATGTATGGTCGTTATTTCCATCTATAAGTCAATTAGCAAAGGTTGCAGCTCGTGCAATATTTGAATAAGCTTGGTGTCTCTCTGCTTATCATCGTACTCCGCCCAGTTTTACTTCCACGCACCTGTTTTTTCATGATAGCATCTCTTTGAGTGACAATATGTCGCAATGTTTCATCTGAAACCGATTACTCGAAACTTTCACGTTTTTATTTTAATCATTAGTCGATCTACTCTTACGCACAAGACTAATGCTTGATATGATAGTCCTACGATGTAGAAAATCTACGTTGGAATGTATAGCTGTTTTGGATGTAATTTCAAAGTACGTTGGTCTTTTTGAGAATGGCTTTCCTTACCGCTGAATCAAATATCTGACAATCTGCTATAATGTATGATTTCTTGTTATTCATGTCTACTCTCTCAAAAGTGCAGTTTCGACGTCACTGTTTCCCTGGAACCATCACT